AATATTTATTAGTAAAATTGAAAACTTTTATATAAAGAGAAAAATACGTATTTTACTATGTTTAATTAGTAAATTTTGACGTTGTTGCATTATTTCTGATTGCCACTGTATATATATAGATCAATTTTCTTGAACCAATTTTCAAATTTGGGGATAATAAATCAAATTTTAAGTTAAAATATATATAATGTTGGGAATTGAATGTCTAAAACTATTCAATTGTTCAAAACTATTCAAATTGTCCAAAACTATTCAAATTGTTCAAAACTTTTTATAACAAATACAAGTCTTGTATATTTAAGTAAATAAATAGAATAGATATATATTTTTTATTATTAGTATAAAATTAATTGTAAATGTCAAATAGCTTCAATTATTCAAATTTTCAACAATAATGTAGCATATAAATTTAATAGGAATTTTGTTAGATAAAGTACCACTTTTCGTTAATTTAACTAACTGTTCTCAAAAGAACTAATATAGTATGCTGAACATTTTTATTTAGAGGACAAATTTAGTTATAATTTTCCGTATTAGAAAATTTGAACATTGGTAGAAAAATGAATAGCCATTTTAATTAAATTTACTCAATTTTCACATATGATATTTCAGTTTGATATTGATATCTTTTAAGCCAATGATTAAATTTAAGTATAATATATCTTATGATCTAATAATCTATAAACTTAGAATAACAAAAGTTGTTTTTTTATTATTGTGCCAATATATTTTATTAATAAACTTATGGTCCGCTTTTTATGTTGGACACTGAACATCTGGGTTAACAATTATCTTTCTTTCTTATCGTCACTGACAGGCAATAGTCTTCCATTTTAGAATTGTACTTCGATAGATACTGTAGTGCAAGGACACATATGGAAGAGAATTCTAACAAAAGAATTTATGACGATAAATAGAAATGTATCAAGTTTTACCTGTCAGATTGTTTGTTGTCTGCGTGTTAGCATGTTTTATTAAAAATTCAAAAGAGTACATACCTATCGTTATCATTATCATTATACACATTTACACATGCGTATCCTCGATAAAATATATTTGTTTTTCATTATCCCATCAATCAAATTTAAGATAACGATAACCTTATAACACAATTTTCAAGTATTGAAATCAATAAGTATCACATTAATTGGAATATATGTACATGTAATATCGATTGCTTAGCATTACGTACGTAGATAAATTGACTGCTTTGATACATGTATATGCATGATTGCATTTGTAGATGTACATGTACATAATTAATTACATGTATCAATTATCGTTATCGTTATCATTATGCAATTAAAAATCTTTTTTCTATTAATGAGGAAGAAAAAACGACCCTTAGTAATGCTAATGCCGACAAACAAGCAAATCCAACTAAGGGTACATCTCTTCGACAAATACAATAATACATGTACATTGAAAGATTTAAATAAAGAACTGTCTAGTTCTGATACTTGGCCAAATTGGATGATTGCTTATCGTTATTCTCTGTTTAACGTTAACGTAAATAGTTACATGGATTCATTATTTATTTATTTATGTTTGGCATTCATCGTATCGGTATTGTTTGTTTTTAGCATACATACGTTGTCTAAATATGTAAAATCGTATACGTAATTTCATGATTATCGTTATCGTTATCATTATGCAGCAAAAACGTTACGTATCACATGTAATTTCACTATCGTTATGTTTACCTTGTATAACTCCGATGTTTGAAATTTTTTAACTAGATGCCAAAACGGAAAAATTCATATGCTTTAAATAATTGACTTTATTAATAAGCTTATGTATCATAAGCTCTAATCTTGATGGAACCTTTCATTAATGTTGTAGCTAATTTTTAATTTCTAGTACATGCATAATCAAATCTTGATAAACGATAACTGTCATTGGAACTAATGCTGGTCCAGTTTATCAGTAATATACGTAGTAACTTAGCGTTAGATAATTTGTTTCTTTAGTAATTATCGTTAATTTCCCTAATATAAAAGCAATTTTCCAAGTTTAATTTGCGAAATAGATGGTTGAGCTGCTTCTTGATACTTATTGTACCCACTTTGGAAAGCAACACAAAGAAATTCACTCTTTGCGTCAACAGGATTCATTTTTTTTAACAATTCTTCACATTGGCCTCCAATTTGGCATATTTATTTAATGGAAAACTTGGTGATTTAATCGGACACGTGAAATGCCGAGCTCCTTAATATGTATCACTATCTTCGTATTAATGGTAGCAGAAGATGACAGGACGCAAAAAATTAAACCATTTTAAGAGAGAATACAACAGTGGCGTTTTATTATTCCTGGACTGTATCTCTTAAACGTTTCAAATTATACATATTTCCCCGTGTCCACACCTCCAAATCTCAATTTTGCAAGCGGCACAATTGATACCTGTGATTTTCACATAGGTAAGCACAATTTTTCGACTTTAATTAAATTTCTAAGTATGTTTGTCTCAATTAAGTAATGTAGCTTTTTAATATAAAATATTATTTTCACCTGTTTGGTTTATTCGGTTTGCTCCCCGGTTCAGAAAATCGCACACCCAGATGAAGCTCCAATCTCTTTAGACGTAGGATCTAATGATGTTTTTATAACACAATGAAAGACACATTTAATTAATTTAGTTTATAATAAAACCGTTTCGTTTATTGGAGATAATGTCGTATTACGAATATTTTAGTATGTGATTAAATAATCCCTTTACGATAACGCAATAATAATAATAGTTCGATATTTATCCTTGCAAACAAATACACAACGTTATCATTAATTGTTTGTCTAGATTATACACAAATTCATTAGCAAGCTGCAAACTTATGCGTTTATTCGGAAAATTTCAAATGTTTTTTTTCTTATCAATGAAAGAGGATTACAAAAGTTTGGCATGTCATTAATTTAGTTAAAACTAGTACGACGAGAGAATATTGCAAAAAGAAGATTTGTATTGAAATGTTCAAAAAAACAATGCTAAACTGGCCCCGTGTCAGTCCTCTGTAATGAAAGAAATCAATTGTGTTCGCCAAGGGTACTTTTGCACTTAAATAAAAATATGCATACATTATTTTTATTGAGTTGTTGAATATGTATTATATAATTTTAATTAAGCTATTGAAGGAATTGTTGAATATGTATTATATAATTTTAATTAAGCTATTGAAGGAATCTTAAAATGTCAATTAGTGTTATAAGCCCAGTACTGGCCCTTCTAGAGCATATTTAAGGAATCTTTTTAAGTTTAAATCTCTGTTGTGCTTTATGTTAAAACATTGTTATATTTAATATCGAAAAGTGGTACAATCGGTTTTTCCGGATTTTAAGATTAAGAAATTTCCGTTTCCTCTAAATTTATATTGCTATTATTACTTATTAATAAAAACATACATTATTCTTTTAGTTTCTATTTTATGCAGTAGATATCTGCTTTCAGGATAGAAGTTTCACAATTAATAGTACCCTGTATATTATGTCATACTTGTCCTAGGAAAAAAACAATTGTAAATAATAGTGTTTCACTTGAATCTTGATTTTTCTTACTACTTAAGACTGTTGATATTTGAATGTTCGATTCTATTACAAAAATTGAAGCGTTGATTGAATATTGTTCTTTAATTCTTAAATTTTCAAACTATTCACCGTACTCTTCGATTCGAAGTATCACCCTGCCAAATCCTTATGATAATAATAAAATTTTTCTCTGCAAATAATCACCATGAGGAATTTCAAGCCTTATAATCAGCAAAAAAGTGGTGTATATTCACGGAAAAGTACGGTACTTCCGCATTATGAATGCCGTTGCCGCCCTACCCTTTTGAACTTGTTCCTGCATTTTTTGGATTCTTAGTCTTCTAATCATAATGATGGACGCGAATGTAGTGCTATCATTAATTATGTTACACTTGCCCCTTAATTCTATACGTACGTACTAGAAATTCGCGCTAAATTATGTATTTTAGACCGAATATTCAAGGAGAAAGTAAGACCTCATGGTTTAGGTTTAGGCACAAGCATTTAACAAAGAACTGCTTTTTTGGGAAAAGGATAATAAGCAACATGCACAACTTTGCTTATTCGCCGCCGTAAGGCTGACTAAAAAATTCAGGTTTTGACCTGTGTGCGCATAATGCACACAGGTCAAACTCTTAAGTGCGCGCATAACGCACACAGGTCAAACTAAGTGCGCGATCCACACATTGCGCTGTTACCAAAAAGATATTTCGATCTTTGTATGCGTTATATGTATTCCAAAATCTTTTATCGAGCGGAAAAAAATTTACATGTGTAGCACACACAATGTATGTGCAATTTTTACACCGAAAGCAGAGTTTTAGTTAGGTTCTAGGTTCAAATAAGATTTACAAAAAATACCAAAACATTATTTCTTTATGAATACATTAATAAATATACAATGATAAATATAATCGATTAATCATCACCGTATTTTGTGTAAACCACAGCCCTCTATAGAAAATTTATACCCCAATTTAACCACAAGATTATTAATTTAGTAGCTAAACTTTTTAAGAAATTGCACCCTGAACTTTAAATTTATTCATTTCGAGAATAATTAGCTTACTAAAAAAATTGGATTAAACTAAGGTTAAATTTTCTACAAAGAGTGATGGTTTATTAGTACCCTAGAAACGGCGAAAAAAAGTAAAGTATCACGTGAGTCCTATCTATTCGGAACTCGGATACTCCGGAAATCGAATTATTAATCGAAGATCATAGTTCCATGTGCAAATCTACCAATCAAATTATCGGATCAACTAATTTGACCAATCGAATTGTAAAATGCTCAGCAATAATACGTATTATCTTGCTTCCCGAATTGGAAAACAAAACTACAATAATATTGCCAAGGTTAATGTGTACGGAAAAGGAAAGTGTCGCAATTTAAGTAGTGGAGGTACTTTAGCTTAGGATCTTTATTCTCCATATTAATGTAATAAATAAAATTGCAACAATCTTTTAATAATAAAGAAGAAACTGTATCTATTATTGGTCTTATTATAATCATAATAGTTCATAAAATGCTTATAAATTCAATTAATATCTTTCCAGGTAAAAGCGAGTGAAATTAAGAATATAAACGGATAATTTAACAAATATAACAAAGATTGTATATTGTTAATATTATTAAAACGAATCAATAAACAATAACATATGAAAAAGATACGAAGTAAACTCACCTTTGGTTAATGAGAATGAGATGAATCACAGTGAGACGAATTACTTTTATATTAATTCTTTTGCTAGGAAAAACGAGTTCAGAAATAGATTACTTAAATAGAAATGATTTCACTTTAGTGATCATGCCTAATTAACAAAAAAACTCATTACGTAATAATTTTGTGAGAAATTAGATTTGATAGTTAAATAATTCACAAATAGTCTTGAAGAATCTAAATAATCTAACTACTCAACTAACATCTAAAGTCACTATGAAAACTAAAAGAAAACCAATTAACGTTATAATGGAGTGATACTAAGAAAAACGCGAAAAGATATAATTAAAGCTCACCTAACTTTGGATATTCCCTACAAGTCCCGTTGAGTAATAACACGTTTATATTAATTATAATTTTCTTTCACGAAAAAATTCCAAGAATAAGTGAAAATAAAAGTACCTCACCACAACTCTCAATAAAAAGGCATATAGTAACTGTCACAGCCAGAAAAAAAGGAAGGGTTTTGCCGTTCTCGTGGTAATGATCTACAGTGCTCGTCAAAAGTAACCTACTCCCCATAACTTTCTGTAGATCATGTGTAATGTAACAAAATTTTCCGAGCACAAAGAACATTACAAATGCTGATTATTGATATCTCAGATATTGTATGTTCATAAACTTTCATATTCCAAATATAATTAGTTATTTTATAACACACATCTTAATATCCAATAATCTAATTCTTGACGTCCAGCAATCTGATTTGAACAAAAATACTACCATTCGATTTGACTAGTCAAGATGAATCAGATGGTAGTATTTTTGTTCAAATCAGATCACTAGATTCAAAATCTTGCATATTAAAGTAGCAGATTCATTTTTTTGATATTAACAAAATTAATCAGCCAATTTATAATATAATATTTTGATCTCTAGTGATCTAATTCAAACAAAAATAATATTATTTGTTTAACTTAAATCACTAGAGATCAAAATATTATATTTTTAATCAACTGGTTCATTTTTTTTGTAATTAATTTCTAGTAAAAATTGATTAACAAATATGAATTAATTATTTTAGAACATGATATTTATTTTAATATCTAGTAATCCAATTTGAGAAAATATATTACCATTTGATTTTGTTTATATTAAACAAATAAAATAATAGTATTTTTGCTCAAATTGAATTATTAAACATCAAAATATTATGTTTAAATTATTGTATTTAAAATATAAGCTTATAATATTTGATATAAAAGATTTACCAATTTATAAAAAATATTAATAATTAATATTTGTAATATTCTTTGTACTTAGAAAATTTTGGTATATTATATATAATATATAAAAAGTTATAAAAGTAAATTATTTTTGATAAATAATATATATATAAATATATTAATATTATAAATAACAAAAAATAATAAAAACAAAAAATAATTTGATTATAGAAAAAACAAATATAATATTTTCAAATATTAATAATAGCTTTTTAAATAAATTATATTTGTTTTTTAAATAAGAAAACTTTTTTAAAAAATATATATTATCTTAAAATATATTTATTAATATAAAATGCTTCTAATAATAATTAAAAATAAAGCTATAATTATATAATACTTATTTATTATAACTTGTTATAATTATAAATTTTATAAGTTATAATTAATTATAATATAATAATATTTTATTTATTATTATATTATAATAATTTATAATTTAGATAAGTTAAAAGAAATTATTATTAAAATATTTCAAATAATAAAAATAATAATAAATTTTTAAAATTATATTTAAAGTTAATTAAATTTATAACTTATTAAAAATATTTTTTATTAAAAATATTTTTTATCAAAAATACTTAATATTATAAATAAATTTTAATAAAATTATTATTATTCTAATACATAAAACTAAATTTAATTATATTAAAAAATATAGCTAAATTTAAATACAAAAAAATTTAATAATTATATATTTAAAATATATATAATAAGTTAATTATTAATAAAAAGATTTAAAAATTAATTTGTTTAATAATAAAGTAAAATTTGAATTATAATAAAAAAATATATTTGCTTAAAAATAATCATATTTATTATTAATTTTTAATAATAATTATTTAATAATATATTTATATTTATATATAATATTAAAGAATTTAAGTATAAAGAAATAAATTTAAATATAATATTTAAATTTATAAATATTTTATAATAAAAAGAAAGCACTTTAATTTTTAAATATATATATATTATAAATTCTAAAACTAGCTTTTATTATTAAAAATATATCTCAAATAATTTGAATTTATAATAAAATAATTTAAAGTTCTTTATTACTTGAAAAATAATTTTATAAAGTATTTGAATTTTTAATTTTATTATTTAATTATATTAGCATTAAAAATATAAATAAAATTATTATAAATATTATATTTAAAACAAATTAAAATACTTTGAGCTTTTTATTATGTCAATTATAATAATATAGCATACCTTTAGTTTATTTTATTTTTCAATATCTGATAATATTAAGCTAATATTTTATAATTTTAAAAATAAATCAATATAAAAAAATAAGTTTTATATGATCTTTTAATAAATAAAATAATTATTAATATTTTTTTGATTAAAAATACTAAAGAAATTTTAGTTATAAATAAAATATTATTAATATTCAATTATATTATTAATATATTATTAATAAATAATTAAAAAATAAAAAATCAAATATATATATTATTACAAAAATTTTAAAAGTTTATATTTATTAATTTTTTAAATATAAAAGAAAAAAATTAAAGTTATTTATTCAGAAAATTTGTTAAAAAATTATTAAATTTAATGAAAAAATATATAATATATAATATATATTTACTTATATTTATAATCAAAAATATTTTCTTTAGTTTTATTATAATTAAAATTATAAAGATATTTAAAATAAATTAATAATTATAAATTATTATAATAATATAATTTCTGATAAAAATTATAAAAATTTGTAAATATATTATTCTTAATATTATAAAGCATATTAATATAATAAAAATTTGCAAAATTTGTGTTAAAAGTGATAAATTAAAATTTTTAACATTTAAATTAGAAAAAAAATATTTAAAAATATTTTAATAAGCAATTTTGAAAATAATTTTATAAAAATAAATTTTATAATATAAAAAATATTTAATTTTAAAAAATTTTCAGTTCTTTTTATTTAATATATATTATTCAAAATAAATTTAAAATTAAATATATTTTTTATATTATAAAATATATTTTTATAAAATTATTTTCAAAATTACTTATTAAGAATATTTTTTATTTGAACTTATAGTAATTGTTATATATAATAAGAAAAATATATTTTTTTATTTTTGTATTATAAAAATTTATAAATTTATAAATATATATTGTAAATAAATTTTTTTAAAACTACTTAATAACATTTTATTTCTATTATTTTCAAATATTTAATTTTAATTTAATATAATACTATAAATTTAATTAAAAAAATTTTTTTAGCTTTTTTAATATTTTAAACTACTAAGTTTTTTTAAAAAACTTGTTTATAATATATCAAATTATATATATTTAAATTTTTATATATTTAATTAATCTTTATAATACAATAAAAAAATATCTTTTAATTAATTATTTTTATTTTATTTAAAGTGTTTTATCTGAATTTAATTTAATAATTAGAAGTAATTATTTTATAAATAGTTTTAAGT